TAAAAATCCAAAAAATCTATACAGGGTGTTTTTAAATGAAATAGCAAAATGGAAATTATTTTGAGAATATTCTTTAAATTTAATTTTGCATTTCTTGTTTTTCTTTTGTATTACATTTTATTTCAGATAAATAATTTTACCTAATACATGTCCCATAGTCATAAAATAATCAAACATTTTTCATTAATTAATACTGTTAATAGCAAATTATTCTTAATGTCTCAATGTTATTATTAAATTACCAGCTTATTGACAGAAAGTGCCAATTTATTAATATGATAAATCACAATTTATTTGTTATGACATCCGCCTACTTTATTTTTACAAATTTTTGCAATTACCGTTTAGTGAACGATGACGCATCTAATTTTTTTACTAGAAAACTATCGGTTTTGTCGAAAAATTACAAGAGGTAAAAATAATTTGCTTCATATAAAAAATTTCTAATAAAGTATTGCAGTGGGGTTGACTGTTTCACTACTTTATAAAATATGTCAACGATTGAACAAATATTGAAAAGTTGTCTCTTTATTAGTAGGATGCTCATACCAAGTTTCGTGTCTCTAGCGTTCCTCATGTTAAAGAGGGTATATCGTCTCAGGGGTGCAATTTTCATATAAGGTATTTTTACTTCAATCCTCTTATTTTTGGCTCTACATTCACTGGTGTCATTTTTGCCACTTCATTTAAAAACACCCTGTATAATATAATTTATAAACTTTATGGCAGCCAGTGTATAATTTTAAAAAAAATCATGCTTCATTAAATATTGTCGTTTTTTTTTTCAATTTTTTTTTTTCAAAATCAAAATTTTTTTTAATGTTTCAAGTCTCGGAAAGCCTGAAAATGTCAGGATTTTTTTTTCGAAATTTGGTATGGTGCTCCTGGACGAGCTGAAACTAAACGACTTAACTCGTACAAGACGTTTCCATTATGAATTGTTAGATCAATTGTACAGGTGTGCAGCGGAGGGCAGTGCCGGAACACCCCCGGCAGTTTTCAGTGCATCTGTCCCACGGGTACGCAGCTGAATGCGCGTAATTTTGTCTGTGAGGACGTCGACGAGTGCAGGGAGTTGGGACCTGAGGCGTGCTTCAACGGAGAGTGTGTCAACACTCACGGCTCGTATAAGTGCGAGTGTGATCCCGGCTCGATCTTAGACAACACCGGACGGATCTGTATAGGTTATTATAACGTTTACTTTCCATAAATATCAATTTATTTGCCTTCAATAATAATGTCTGTTGCCCTCGGTAATGTGCAAAAAATTGTACGACTATAGTTCTTATTCAGATAACAGGAAAGGCACTTGTTGGACGACTTTGAACAGGGGCCGATGCGAGAACAACCTTCCGCTCCTCAGCCGAAGGTCAGAATGCTGCTGCTCGGTAGGCGTCGCCTGGGGCTCCCCCTGCGAACGCTGCAACAGAAACGAATGCGACTGCCCCAAAGGTTACGCCAAGGCCGACGGAAAANGACCTAAACCCCGACATCTGCCAGGGAGGAGGAACTTGCATGAATACAGACGGCAGCTTCACTTGCACCTGCCCCCCGGGTCTAACCCTGGACGAAACTAGTAAGAAATATTACCAACCGCCCAATTCGAAACTTGAAATAATACGTGTTCCAGGAACGAAGTGTTTGGACATACGACAGGAGCAGTGCTACACCCGGTACAAGCACGGGAAATGCGTCAATCCCATCGACGGGCTCTTCTACAGGAACCTGTGCTGTTGCACGCAGATCGGCAAGGCTTGGGGCGACAAATGCGAGCCGTGTCCCAGACCGGGCACAGCCGCCTTCCTAGAGCTGTGTCCGAAAGGGATGGGGTTCGTGGATAAAAAGGATGTCAATGAGTGTACCGAGTTCCCCGGAATGTGCCAGAACGGTAGGTGTAAGAATACCATCGGCAGCTACAACTGTAAATGCAATAAGGGCTACGACTACGACGAGAATAAAATAAAGTGCGTGGGTAAGTTATAAAAGTGTCTCGTTTTGATTGTCGTTTTATATTCTCTTTGATTTCTAGATATTGACGAGTGCAACTTGACGACCGATAATGTATGTGGGAATGGTGTTTGTAAAAATATACCCGGAGACTTCATTTGTGTGTGTAACGAAGGGTACAGGACTATGGCACCGATGCAGATTTGTATGGGTAAGTTTTACCTTTATACTTCAGGTCCAAAATAATGGAGAATAGAGGCCACAATTTTTACTACTACTTAATCTGATCAAATATTTTTGTGTATTCTTTACTTAGAAATTGTAACGCTGTTCATTGTGTATAATGTTCCAATATGTTCATCCTATTCTATCATTTCATATACAAAAAGAAGCGACCATAGTTGCTTAGTTTCATTTCTTGATTTGTTGATTTCCAGTTTAGGCGTTTCCCTTCGTGTCATATGCGTGCAAGTGGGAAATACATTATTTTCGCATATTGGTTATTCCAATAAAGTGCTGTTAAAAATTAAATTTATTGAGATTGAGAACTTTGTCTGATAAACAGTTAAACCGTGGAAGTGTGCAATTCACATGACATGATAATAAATATGTGAATTGTAGGAAGGTTACAGATTTTATTTTAAAAATTATTACTTTAAAGCAAATTCAAACTGCAATCAGTTTTTTTCATAGTAGACCGATCGAAATAACTCATTTACAGGGAAAAAGAAAAGAAAATTGTTGCCTGAACTTTTATAAGTGGAAATGGTAAAGGGGCTTATAATAAACGAAAAAATAAATAAATGCGTCAGCAGGGGTGGCGGAGCGGAGGGTTGATTTGGGGATTGAAAAGTTGTAAAAAATTGTATCATTGGGATTTCTGGCGAAAATTGACGTCCAACAAAAAAGTATTCCATACAAAAGTAGTAGATCATGCAAAAATGTAAAATTTTTGTAGAGGTCACTTTTTAAGATAACCTCAAAATTTCCAAGAAAAATGCAAAAACCGTTTTTTTTCTGATTTTTCGTTTTTTATTTCTCATTTCCGCAAAAATAATTTAATTTTGACGAAATAACCACAAATTATTTTAGATAATAAAATCAAGAAATTTCCGAGATATTCATTTTTTCCAGTCTCAAACACTTGTTTTTCAAAGAAAAATTCTTAGAAAAATCATCATACAGAGTTCTGCCGGTGATCATTTTTTTCGTTTTGACATATACTTTTTGGTGAAATAAAAAAATGCAAAAAAATAAAAATGACTTGCAACAATGAATTTTTCAGTAATTGTTGACAATTTGTTTAAATTAAAAAAAAATCAGAAACTGATTACACCATTCAATTCTACGGAAAAAAAATATAAAAAAAACTGCGTCTCATTGTTTGACCCAAAACTTTATTTTTGTACAGTATTACTATAAACATTTAAGTCTAATTACAAATGCACAAATGATAAATTATCTCTGGATGATTTGAGATTTCTGCAATACAAAGTATTAACTGCAAAGTTGATGTGAAACCCGAAAACCCGAAATTTTGCAAAATCGTTTTATTTTTTTCCGGCTATTTGAAAACGAATTTTAAAATAAATTGCATATTTACTATGCCACTTTTTTCGCTCTATACAATGGCATCAACATTTTTGCAATTCGACGTTTCGTCTTCGATAGGTCATCATCAGGTTAATTTTTTTAAATATGTTGCTGCTATTTTTATGACAAAATATGACAGAATTAAAATTGACTAGATTTTGTCATAAAAATAGCAGACGTATTTAAAAAAATTAACCTGATCGAAGACGAAATGTCGGATTGCTGATATTTTAAAATTCGTTTTCAATTAAAGCCGGAAAAAAATAAAACGATTTTGCAAAATTTCGGGTTTTCGGGTTTCACATCAACTTTGCAGTTAATACTTTGTATTGCAGAAATCTCAAATCATCCAGAGATAATTTATCATTTGTGCATAACACTGTACAAAAATAAAGTTTTGGGTCAAACAATGAGACACAGTTTTTTTATATTTTATTTTCCGTAGAATTGAATGGTGTAATCAGTTTTTGAATTTTTTTAAATTTAAACAAATTGTCAACAATTACTGAAAAATTCATTGTTGCAAGTTTTTTTTTATTTTTTTGCATTTTTGAGCATGTTTTTGAACTGTGATTATAGATTTTTTTATTTCACCAAAAAGTATGTCAAAACGAAAAAAATTATCACCAACAGAACTCTGAACGATGATTTTTCTAAGTAGAATTTTTCTTTGAAAAAAATGTGTTTCAGACCGAAAAAAATGTCAGAAATTTCCTTTTTTTTTTCTAAAAAAAATTTGTAGTTATTTAAGACACAGAAAGGTATACTTTCACCAAGTTTCGTCAAAATTAAATTATTTTTGCAGAAATTTTAGGTTTATTTTAAGCCCTTTTACCATTTCCACTTCCAAGTCCAGGTAACAATTTTTCTTTTCTCCAAAAATTAATAAACTTAGAAAATTAAAAGGCAGTTAATTTGTTTTGCAATTTTTTTATTGAATAGACGAAAAATAGAAATAATGAATTTCTTAGTACGAAGACACTTTTATAAGGGGAAAATTAGGGAAATCAAAACAGTTCTTGAAAAAAAAGGGTTCTGGTCAGTTTTAGTGAAAATCCATTTTCAAAAATTTTGCGAAGCAAAACCTTTAGCTGTAAATTTTTATCATTTTTTTTTCTAAAATAGTTGGATTTAGGAACCATAAAGTTTTTTTGTGTATACTGTCATCAAGGCATTCACTGGCACAATTTCACAGACAACAAAATCGTAGAATCACGATAAGTGATTAAATTTTTTCTACAGACATCGATGAGTGCTTGGAAATACCCGGTTTGTGTCGGGGAGGACGATGCATCAACTTGGATGGTTCTTTCAAATGCGAATGCCCTCCCGGTCACGAACTGGCACCCGACAAGGAATCCTGCAAGGATATCGACGAATGCTCTAGGTCCAGTGGGATTTGTTCAAACGGCGTCTGCGAGAACATGATGGGGACGTATCAGTGCATTTGTAACGAGGGTTATCAACAAACGGGCCTCAAATCACACTGTGAAGGTGCGTTCACTTAATTTTTTTCACACAAAATGTATTACCGCTATTTTTTTTTAGATATCGATGAGTGCGACGAGGAACCGTGCGACGACATTTGCTTGAACATCCCCGGAAGTTACTCTTGCTCTTGTGGGTATGATAGCATTAATCTTCATTAAACTCGGCAATATTAAGGTTTCCGTTACAGCTCCGGTTATTCCCTCAACTTAGACGGTAGGTCTTGTTCAGATATAGATGAGTGCAAGGAGAACCCGAGGATATGTAATGGCGGAAAATGCACAAACACCATGGGTAGCTACATCTGTCACTGTACCGAAGGACTCTTGGCAGGTCCCGGTGGTACATCTTGTCTGGGTAAGTATCGGATGTGGTTCTCGAAAGTATCGGTTCCAATTGGCGAATTTTAGATATCGACGAGTGCAAGCAAAACCCGAACGTATGCGGGGCCGGCGAGTGCGTGAACACTCTCGGATCTTTCCACTGCAGGTGCGAGGAAGGTTATTCAGTGAAGCCCGAGGGTGGACCGCAGTGCACTGACGAGGATGAGTGTTACTTGGGAACGTACAACTGCAATGAGAATGCCGACTGCATAAACAATCCGGTAAGTTGTCAAACATTTCTGGAAGTAATACCGGGTTATCCATTTTCTCCTTGGCGTAGAGTTTAAAAAAAACACCCTAAATATTTCAATTTCGATGGAGTTTTTATTTCACAATAAAGTTTGGACTATGCCATTATGCTTGGAAAATAATATCATTCAAATGTCCTCAACGGAACGATTTGCAGGACTCAATCCTTTTAAGGTAATTGTAGAACCACATGTCGTCCAGATCAAAATCTTCAATTTCAGGCCAAAAATAGTCATTTCATGGCAGCATACCGCTGAGAATTGATGGTAACGGTGGCTCCTTCGTCATTCTCGAAGAAGTACGGTCTGATGACGCCGCCATCCGACAATGCACACCAAACAATCACTTTTTGCGAGTACATTGGTCTCTCAGCGGTCATTTGCGGCTGCTCACTACCCCAGATTCAGCAATTTTGCTTATTGACATAGCCGCCGAACGTGAAATGGGCCTCATCAATAAAGATTTTCTTCGAAAAATCAGGATCGGTGCCCTGTTGTTCCAGCACCCAATTGGTATACTCATGGCGCAATCTATAGTCAGCTTGAGTTCTTGCGAGAGTTGGACTTTATATGGATTGAGATGCAGCTTCAAATGCAAAATGTGTCACAACGTGCCGTATGACAGGCCCAAATGGTGATCTTGGAGCGGAATCGAAAGATTCAGATCATTGTCAATACTTTCACTTACAGCAGCTATGTTTTCAGTTGAACATGCAAAACGATGATGCACAGGTCTTATGATGTCTGTTACCGATCCAGTCTCTTCGAATTTCCTCACTATGTCGACCATAATCTCCGTGGAATGCGCGAAATTCAGCCACCGAAAATCCACCATTTTCGTAGAATAAATAATAATAATAATCGTGGTTAATAATTTTA